CAAGTTATTTTGGGGGATTTTGGGCTGGTTTTGGGTGACTTTTTGGCTGATTTTGGCTGATTTGGGTGATTTTGGGGTGATTTTGGGATGATTTTGGGCTGGTTTTGGGTGATTTTGGGCTGATTTTGGGTGATTTTGGGCTGATTCTGGCTGTTTCCGGGTGTTTTTGGGGTGTTTCTGGGCTGATTTTGGCTGATTTTGGGCTGATTCTGGCTGTTTCCGGGTGTTTTTGGGCTGATTTTGGGCTGATTTTGGCTGATTCTGGCTGGTTTTGTGCTGATTTTGGCCGATTTTGGCTGATTCTGGCTGTTTCTGGGTGTTTTGGGGCTGATTTGGGCTGATTTTGGCTGATTCTGGTTGTTCCCGGGTGTTTTTGGGCTGATTTTGTGTGATTCTGGCTGTTTCTGGGTGTTTTTGGGCCGATTTTGGCTGATTTTGGGCTGTTCCCGGGTGTTTTTGGGCTGATTTTGTGTGATTCTGGCTGTTCCCGGGTGTTTTTGGGGTGTTTTTGGGGTGATTTTGGGCTGATTTTGGCTGTTCCCGGGTGTTTTTGTGCTGATTTGGGCCGATTTTGGCTGATTCTGGCTGTTCCCGGGTGTTTTTGGGGTGATTTTGTGTGATTCTGGGTGTTCCCGGGTGTTTTTGTGCTGATTTTGGCTGATTCTGGCTGTTCCCGGGTGTTTTTGGGGTGATTTTGGCTGATTCTGGCTGTTCCCGGGTGTTTTTGGGCTGATTCTGGCTGATTCTGGCTGTTCCCGGGTGTTTTTGGGCTGATTTTGGCTGATTCTGGGTGTTCCCGGGTGTTTTTGGGGTGATTTTGGCTGATTCTGGGTGTTCCTGGGTGTTTTTGGGGTGATTTTGGCTGATTCTGGCTGTTCCCGGGTGTTTTTGGGCTGATTTTGACTGATTCTGGCTGTTCCCGGGTGTTTTTGGGGTGATTTTGTGTGATTCTGGGTGTTCCCGGGTGTTTTTGGGGTGATTTTGGCTGATTCTGGCTGTTCCCGGGTGTTTTTGGGCTGATTTTG